TCCTCAACTCAAAATTGAACATACTGGTCAACCCAAAAACAAAACTAATTCAATCTCAATCTACTCGGACAGCAATATCTCATCCTCATTTGTTAAATTTATTCTAAAAAGATTTGAATCAGTTATTCAACACTGGTACATCCCAGACAGCAAGACCAACACTCTCAATTTAGTCATTCAAAATGCCGAAACTCAACAACAAATACTAAAGAAACTTCATTCACCAGCCGTGTCATGACAGAAAAAACACAAACAAAATATTTCGCCTCACCAATGATTTTTACATCATCTCCAACAACATTAATAGCCAAAGAAAAATCAATTTCGAACATCCAAACTCTCATCAAGTACTCAATCAATCAAAAGAAATGTAGAATTGAACAAATGTGCCTAACATTCAATCCACAAGAAACCTTGTACAAACTTAAAATTAACTTTGATTCCAAGAATCCCAACACTGAATTGATTGAACAAGGATTTGAAATTATCAAAAGAAAGCAAGAAACGCATATAGCAAATTGTATACTCCCTGAATCAACAAGTGAACTCGCAATTATCAAAGCTATTAAAACACTATGCAAGAACACAACCATCAAATTCGAAAAAGAGAGACTCAGTATTAAGAAAAAGGTAAAAGATACCTACTCATACCTAATTGTTGAATACAAGCTTAATGACATCAATGAATTGAATCGACTAACCTCAACAAGATTTATATGCTCCACAGAATTGAAACCAATTTCAAGACAATTCAAGCCAAAGACAACCGCATGAACGTGCGTTTAATAGTTTTACCAGCACCAATGGTGCTAACAATAAACTAATTAGATTTTTTGAAGAGAGGTGGTGGTGTTGTTGTTGTGTGAAGGAACATGTGCCTTGGGTTTCTTTGGTAGGTGGAGTTGTAGTCCACCTACGAGTTGGTGATCGGAACCGTCACGCGCAATAGGGTTCCAATCACCACCAACAACACCAACCACACCAACACCAACAACAACAACAACAAAAAAAAAATGATTCCAACAACAAACAACACCAATGATCATCATCATCACATTATGGAAGACTCCCAAGTATCCTCACCTCCATCATCATCAGCAGCAGCAGCAGTGGTGAGTGAGGATGCGATGCAAGATTCTCAAGTGGATGAATCTTTATCCACCACCACTCTGACCACCACCACTCGTACCACCACCACCTCTTCTTCTTCTAATAACAATCATAACAACACTCCTCCTCTTCCAATTTCACCTTCACTCGTGGGTTGGACTGAACCCTCCACACTTCAAGAAAAGAGATCTCTCTATGCATGTGGCAATGATTTTGTCACTTTGGATCAATTAGAGTTATATCCATCGTATGCTGAAAAGAATCGACTTGAACAACCATCGATTGAAGGTATTAAAAAGTATTCTCTTCCTATCTCAGAAATAGAGAATATCCAATATTATCTCAATTCAATCCTGAACATGATGCCATCAAGAAGGGTTATTATGACTATAATGAAGCAATTAATAAGAAGATTTCTTTTTTTAGAGGTGATGTCTCTCAATTGGAAATTGATGCTGTGGTGAATGCTGCCAATGAATCCTTGTTGGGTGGAGGTGGTATTGATGGAGGTAAGTACAAGTGTTATAATAATGGTAATAGTACTATTGTTTTATATATATTTGTATATATTTGTACATATTTGTATATATATATATCTATTATTGATATTACTGATTCACACAATACCATGTCATCATCTGACGTGATCCTATCACTACTACTACACTTGTATCATCATCTGCTTGATGATCACATAGCCATTCATAGAGCTGCTGGTGGTATCTTGAGAAAATACAATGCTCTTCTTAATGGATGTGATACTGGATGTACAAAGATTTCACCTGGATTTAAATTACCAGCAAAATACATTCTTCATACAGGTGAGTACAATGATACATCTTAATGGATTCAATGAATATCAATGAATAATAATATTTGATTCAAATGATTTCAATTGATTTTAATTTTATTTATTTTATTAATTGATGAATTAATTTTTTATGATTTGATTCAATTTAATTTTATTTAATTTTTTTTATTCAATGAATTTATTTAAACATGTATTTGAATATAAATGTTTAATCTCTTTTTGAATGATTCTAATAATAATACCTACTCTATACTATGCAACACACAGTGGGTCCAGTTGGAGAGAATCCTCAAAAACTCACCAGTGCTTACACCACATGTCTTGAATTAGTTGAACAATACAATATTAAGAGTGTTGCCTTTTGTGGAATTTCTACAGGAATATTTGGTTATCCATTAGATAAGGCCACATTCATTGCCATGCACACTGTACGTCAATGGATGGAAATTCATCATGAAAAGGTAGATCGAATTATTTTCAGTAAGTATCATAGGATGAGACTACTAACAATGACACACTCTACTTTCACACATGATTGACAATCTCCATAGTCACTTTTTTGAAGAAGGAAGTTGACATGTACAACACTGTTGCTCCTTATTTCTTTCCTTTTAAACCTTTACAAGAGAAATAAATTGTTGTCGTGATGTATAGTCATCTTGCCGAATATATTTGCATGAGTGGGCGGAACTAATTTCAATCGCTCCTTCTATTGTGATTCTAGCTCGACATCCAACCTCCTTTTAGAGACCTCTTTGATCATGTCGTACGATTCATGAGCGGTGTTGTGTCACGCTGGACGCGGTGCAAATGTTGTTCTTGGTGTTCCATCATTTTCAACCCCGTGTGTGTGCAGCACGATCGATCAGTTGGTCAAGTCAATAAAAAATATCATCATTTTCATACAATCTTTGTGTTGTTGTTGCCTTTTAACACACACACCATCACCAACAATGTCTGATCAACAACAACAACAACAACCTGGAGTGGTCTATATGCAACAACCACAACAACAACCCATGATGATGATGACCTATCCTCCACAACCAATTCCACAACAACAAGGCTATCCACCCGTTCAACCCATTCAACAACATCAACAACAACCACCATCGGGAGTTGTTTATATGCCACCACAACAACAACAACAAGGCTATCCACCCGTGCAACCTCCATATGGTGGTGGTGGTGGTGGTGGTGGTGCACAATATAATGCAACCACCACAAGGACAACAACCTCAAATGGTTACTACTACTACTGCCATGCCAATGGTTGTTGTTGGTGGTGGTGGTGGTGGTGGTTCACTACTCGATCAAATCTTTGCTCCCAATCACAAGGCCAAAGTCAAACAAAGAATTGAACCTTTTGAATTGTTGACTGGATTTGAAACTGAGAATCGTTATGACATTTATTTTGAGAATGGATATGAAGCTGTTGCATTGGAAGAATCTGATTGTTGTGCTCGACAGTATTGTGGTCCAAGAAGACCATTCAAGGTTGGTATAATTTTTTTATTGTTGAATATATTGGTAATTTTATTCAATTATTTGAAAATCAACCACCCCATCACTGGTTTACTACTGTTCTGACCCTATTTGAATTTGACATCACTGCCATATTGTTCAATTAATTGAAAATCAACCACCCCATCAACACTCTCTCAAACAACAATAACACCACTGCCACTACATCAACCACCACCACTCTCATAGATGCACATTGCTTTAAAAGGCAATGGACAAGAATTCATTACTCTTGATCGACCATTTTGTTGGATGTTTCATGAGGTTAATGTATTTGAGACTGCTACTAACACTGCTTTGGGTAAAGTTGAATTGAGATGTTCATTCTTCTCTCGTGAATTGAATATCTTTGATGCAAGTGGTGCAAAGATTTATGATATTGTGTCACCATGTTGTGAGTGTTGGACTTTTTATATTGAAAAGAATGGACAACGTGTTGGTGAAATTCGTAAAAAGTGGAGCGGATTCTTGAAAGAAGCTTTTACCGATGCTGTAAGTTTGTTGATGATAGAAGATATGTCCACAATTTAACAATTTAACCATTTGTTCATTCTGAATACTTTATCATGATAGGATAATTTTGGTATCGAGTTTCCAATTAGCTCAACCACTAAAGAAAAGGCAATTCTTCTTGGAGCCTTATTCTTGATTGACTTTTTGTACTTTGAAGAAAGTGCAAACAATGACAACAATCGTCGTATTTTCTTATAAAATAACACAATAGTCATTAAATAAAGCATTGATTGTTAAGACAACATATAGTGTTTTCACTCCATTAACAGTTCTTTGGTTCTATTCGTTTAAAGTAATCTCTTATTACACCTCCAAAACTTCCAATTCACAAGCAACCCAACTTCGCAGCAATCTGTGTCTGCTTCGACACCCAGCGCTCCCATTATTAAGAGAGATTGCTGGTTCACAATCTCAGAAATTGTTTGGAAAGGAGGAAGCAACTAACAATTCTTCATCAATTGATTATCGTTGACTTACAATTGTAAAAGTTACTTATAAAATATTAAAGAATAAAACACTAACTAAGAAATGTCTCCTATATTTTTATTCGGAAGATTACTCTCAAATATTTTTGAACATTATTGATGCATTATTAGAGAAATAATGTATATTCGTGCTCAGATAGAGTTTCACTTGGCAATTAGTTGAACCATGTATTGACTCATCATAAAAAAGATATAACTCATAAAGAAACATCTTCTATCCGATATATCTTCACTATCTTTGCAAAATGTTATAATCTTACACTCTCATTCCTTTTGTATTATACTATGCTTTTCATTTCTTTTTACCATTTTATTTCAATGGTAATTATATCATTAATACAAAGAGCTTATTGATATTTTATCATCTTATAATGAGATTACAAATTATTTTATTTAAATATGTTTTGTCATATTTCTGTATTATATAAAGCTATTAATTTCTTCTGAATAAATCTTTTCTGGATGTTGAAAAAAATTAGTTACCTATTAATTATGAATGAATCTGATATGTAACTCAACAATAATTAGTTAATATAGATGGGTTAGTTCCTCTCCAAACTACCACTTTTTGCAGATGGAGTGTCAACCAACAAGCTTTATTTGTTGTACAGTTGTTTCGAGAAATGATGGAAGTACGCGATGAAAATACTCAATCAGTTCATTGAGAAAAACCACATTCAGGAATGGATATCAATATCCTATACATATTAATGAAAAAGATTAGAATTAAAAATATGCCAAAACAATGCCCACTTCTGTATTGATGTCAATATTCAATAAGGTTAGTTCAGAATAATTAAAAGAAAGAAATTAAAATGACCATGTGACTTATAAACATCGCAACAATCAATGACGAGTAAAGAAATAAAAATTAAAAATCCAATGATAAAAATCGAAGAGTTATCCAAATTCTGAATTGTCAATAAATTGAGCAAATCAATTATGACGAATAATGACCAAAGTCAAAGAAATAACAACAAGTGTTTGAAAAAAAATTCTCTAGTATTAATGGGAGGGAGTGGTAGGTGTCAAAGCAGATTGCTGTGAGGTTGCAACTGGGTTGCTTTGCTCTTTGTTTTGCTTGTGCGTTGGAGGTTGACATATTTTTAGAGATGAACCTCCAATTATTGTTTTCGATACAAAACACTTCTGTTCTTTTCCAAAGAGCTATCAATGTCCTATTAATATTTTGTCAATTAAAGGCATTAAATCGGTGTTTTCAGAAGTATCTGGTAAAATTTTTGATGATCAATTAACATGCAGAAAAACGTTTTACTTTCATGATTGTGTATTATGCAGCGATGAATGTACTAATCTGTTGACAACTATTTCATGAATCATTATGGTAGTACCTCAATTAGCGTTGTGTAAACTCTGAAGCGTATATTCGAACATAATTATCGCATGGAAAGAGCCTGACACACTGATTGCACTCGTGATGGGTTGGTGCAACTGAAAAATTCCTTAATTCCTTCTAAAATCAATACATCATCATCATTATGTTTCAAATTACATTCCTGTTCTGCTTCTTCTTGTTTTTCTATTGAGGATATATCATTTCTTAAACCTTTTCTATTCAATATCCAATAATCCAAGACAAACACAAGAAAGAATTTCAATCGAGGATACTTGAAATTCACAAAATCCACAAATAGTTTTCTAAGAAGGTGAGGTGGATTCACTGTGATTGTTGTTGAATGGTTGGTTGAACAATGATCTTGTTCCTTATTTGGAGAAGATTTATTATGAATATCATCATCATTCACTTCATTGTTGTTCTCTCTTCTGTTGTTCATTCACTTGAAATATTGTGAATCATTTTGATCATTCTCACCACCATTCTCATCACCACTACATTTCAAACATTCTCTAAATATGAATAGTGATCGTTGGCATAGTTCTTCAAAATATTGAATAGTTTCTAAAACTACAGTATTCACACATTCTTGACTGATTTGAAATGGATGATTTGTTGTCATCGTTGTATTACATAACGAGTATGTGAAATGATTAGAGTTGTTCCAAATACTTTCACAATCACTCTTAATACTCTCCTCCAAATAATGATGATATTCATTTTGGTTACAATAATTATTCATCTCAGATTTAAATTTCTTAATACTCTCTAAATGATGATGTTCATTCTCAGATTTAAATTTCTTAATATCATTATTCTCAGATTTAAATCTTTCAATTAATTCCATACACCATTGTGAATTCATTCGATACATGTTAAAACAATTCTTTTGTGTTGTTTTTAAATGATTGGTATAATAATTCATATTTAAAAGTTCTAAAAGATTGGTTAATTGTGGATGATTGAATTGATACATTCGATGAGTGGTGGTGATGGTTGTTGAGGTGGTGGTTGTAGCAATATTAGTAGTGCTATTATTATTATTACTACTACTACTACTACTACTAGTTGTTGTTGTTGTTTTGTTTAAATGTTGATCATTCATTTCAACATGATTCATAATAATAAATCCACTTGAATCACGCCACAAGGGATGAATATACTTTCTGAGAAGAGTTCGAAGAAATTCTTCAAAATCTTTCACACACAGAATCATCATCATGTTATTGTCATTATCATTACTAGTAGTAATTCTATTCCTTATTATCATAGTATTATTATGATTGGAATTTAAACATTTCAAATCAATAAATAATGAATTCAATAACAATGGAGTGGGAATGTGAATATCATTCATGATGAATTCTTTAAATATATTGTGTGCATGAACAAAAGTATTCATAATAGTTGAACAAGTAGTATTAGTAGTAGTAGTATTAGTAGTAGTATTGTTAAAAGAAGTAGTAGTAGAACTAGTAGTATTCTTCATGTTCCTTATACTATAACAACCATGTAAATATAATTTTGCATATGACTCATTTTCCAATAATGGTGTTCTTGGTAATGGCTTGATGTTTTAAAATATTAAAGTGTAAAGTAAATAATTGGTCTTGTTCGAGAGTGGACTCTGTCGATTGAGTATATTCTTGTTGTGATGGGCTTGTCCAAATGTGATTAGTACTACTACCACTACCACTACCACTACTACTTGAATCATGTTGATCATTATCACTACGTAAACACAATTCAAAAATATAGCACTTGGATGATGTTTCATCCCAAAATGGTAATTTTCCACCCATTTCTTGAAATGTTTTCCAAAAGATATGAGTGAAGGCTTGTCGTTCTTTTCGTATTTCATCATCCATTTTGGTCAGAGGTAATAATGGTGCTTTTGATGATCCATTTGATACATTCAAGATAGGTTCATTTATGATAGTTTGACTAACTATATATGGATCATTATGAGAGGAATGAAACAATGTGGATGATGATGAACAATGACTTAATTACTCTCAATCATCACTCTCCTATAAACACCTAAATTCCAATTCTTATCTTTTGAAAAACGTTGTTTCTTTTGAATATCTGGACAATAAATGAGATAATCATCAAATTGTTGTGAATGAGTAATAGTCTGATCGGGATGATTCATGATGATACAAAATTGAATGGAAGGATGAGAAGTAGTATTTGTAGTAATCTTATCAAGGTACTTCTTTTTAACTATATTAGGAAATACCAGACAAGTCAATCCATCTACTTTTTCATAGATTAATGTTCCTTTTCAAAATCTAAATCAGTACTTTTCACTATTAAATCACTATCTAATCCATCATCAAAGTATAAATCAATCATTGGTCTATGATTAACTGCAACTAATTGATAAGAAGAAGAAGATTCAGTGGTGGTGTTAGTGGTGGTGTTGGAGTTGTTCATGGTATTCATTGAAGAAGAATGGTTGATGTGGTTGTTGGTCATGTTGGTCATGTTGGAGGTACGAGTGGTAATAATAGTCATTGTTTTCAACAATACCATACTGGTACAATATTGACATGGATTCTTTTCAACAGTCATGGGACATGTCGTAGAGGTAGTAGTAGTAGTCGCATTAGTAGTAGTATCATTGGAAGGATTTTTTTGTTCTTGTAATTTAAATCTTTTTTCTTGTGTAGTAGAAGTATATTGAACCCATATGGGTGAACATTGTTTGTCCAATGTACAATAAATATATTCATACAATGTTAATAACTTCATTCCTTGACGAGTAGTAGTAAATTGATGACCATGATCATCATCATCATCATCACTACTACTACTACTACTACTACTACTACTACTACTACTATCAATACCATCATGGTGATGAGTGGTGGTGTTGCTGGTGTTGTTCAAAGGAGTGGTGGAATGCATGTCAAGTGGTTCATGGGGTTGTTCTACTAATTGTTGTACTTGTTCAACATTTTGAGACACAACCACATGCACACTTTGATGTTGAATGAACATGGAGAAATCTCTTCTCAATGATTCCACTCCATTCTTTTCAACGTATTGAATAAGATATGAAAAATCATTGAGAGAGTTCTCATGAGAATTATTACTATTACTACTACTACTGGTGCTACTACTATTACTACTACTATTGTCACTACTATTAATATTACTATTAATATCACTACTACTACCTGTACACATCCTCCTGATTCGATCATGATATAATTCACTTCTCTCCAAATAGACCATCTTTTTACTTCTATTTCCTCGAATAGATTTTGAACTACTTGTATTCTTTTTACAACAAGTTTGTTAGGAGGAAGTGAATGTTTTTGGAAGTGAGAAGGATGAATGTTTAACATGTCTCCATGATGAGAACTTGTGATTGAGGTTTTGGTTGTTGTGGTTGAGTTGGTGGATGGATTCTCCAAGATTCCTCTCTCATCGTCATCCATAAAAGTAAAATGAAATAAATCATGCATTTCTTCACTTAATCGCTCCTTATATTGTTTTTCTAAAATTTCAAATGTCCATAATCGAAATGTAGATTGTTGTAGTGATTGTTGTGGTGTATCTTTCATGGAAGGATTGTTGAATAATTCCAATAAATCTTTTAACATGATTTGATAGATCCATAGATAGTGTTGAGAACAAGGAGTAGAATGCTTGTTGTTGTCTTCATCGTCGTCGTCGATAAGATGATTTGGAGAAGATGATAAGGACAGCATGTTGTTGGAAGTGATTGAAGAAATGTGTTTCAATTCCTCTTGAATCAATTCTTGTGCTTGTTGATGAATCCATGTTGAAGTAGTATTGGTGGTATCAATAGTAGTGGTGGTGCTGTTGGTGGTGTTATTAGTAGTAGTATTCATATTCATAGTAGTAGTATTCATATTCATGGTAATATTCATAGTAGTAGTATTCATATTCATAGTATTAGAATCCTTATTATTATTATTATTATTAAATAATAATTCTTCCATCTTGTGAATGAATATATGATAAGGTCTTGAAATAAATTCCCATTCCTCATTTCCAAATGAAAAATTAATAAATAAGAATGAATCATGTTCATTATTGGATATGTTGTTACAACAATGGTGATACTGCTGATGGTGCTTCTGTTGCTGATGGTACTGCTGTTGCTGTTGCTGTTTCATGGAATAATTCTTCATTTTTGAAAGAATTTCATCATTACTCTTATAGTGAGAATGTAATTGATTCCCTTGTTACCAATTTCAGATTATTGTTGTGGAGTGATGGGAGCGTGTGCTGCATTGGATGGATTGTATCGTCGATGTAAATATGGAGGATCTTATTACATGACCACTTCATTGACCAAATACAATGATTGGTTACAAGAGTTGGGCATGTATCCAGAGGAAGTGGTAAAGGAGTTGGTTCAATCTTTTGGAGTTTCATACCCTTGCCATGACAACATGATGGCTCAAACAACCAAAACCCTCGGCGGCTTGGTGAAGAAAATTCCACAAATAATGGTGGGAAATTTTGGCAAATTTGAAGAGACACCTTTTGGAATTCCAGTCAAGTATTTGAAACCTGTTATTTCGATTCGTGGCACGGTGAATGAGTTTTTGTGCCCTCCAAGACCGCACGGATATGATAAGCCAGAATTTCCAAAATACCGATAAAAGTATAAATTCATCAGAACATTGTTTTACATCTTTGTTGAATAAGGATTTGAAGAAGATTTAAATCTTCGGAATGAATTGTGTGTATGAAACCACTCTTCAACTCTCAGCAAGTGGATTCTTTCATGGGACTCTTGAAACATTTCTTGTAGATAGGAATTTATGGTGAGAGAGAGTTGGAAGTGTATTTGTTGTTGTAATGTTTGTGTACCGAATGAAACCTTGCCCTAAGATTCTCTCGCAACAAAGTTTTAATAACACGACCAGTTGAAGTAAAAAGAATGAAAAAAAGCTACAGCACCGCAGTTTCCCAAGTTGTCTCCAACCTCAGTACTGATGCAGCTCGACGATGCTTGACTTCTCAAATCGGACGGGATGAGGTGCATTCATCGTGATATGGCCGTAGCCATTCCTTATTTTAAAGTGCTTGTTTTGATTACTCTCTTACCATTGATTCGCTGTTCCCTTCATAAAGCACCCATCGAGTGTGGTGTGAAGCCAATCTTTAATATCAAGAGTGCGTGTCCTTTCATGATTCATCACCAAACCAGAACTCAAGTAAATCGTCCTGATTTCTTGTCCTTCACAGTTCATACAACCAAAGGTTGTAGCAGGAGAGACGTCATGTTCCTGAGAGGCATCCCGTCCATATTCTTCTTAACAAAGAGAGAAATCGATTATTTTCTATATACGGAAATCCCTATATTCTGCCAAAGTTAATGTTACATGGTGCAACAAGATCTTTTAGATCCTTCATTGAACATTGATCCACTTGGTATTGCTGCGTGACGAAGATGTAGCCATTCATTGTTGGTTCTCCTTCCTTTGTTCGAGTTCTCGTGGATATCCAGTTTCAAGTAATGAATCAAAAAAAACACTCAAGTGTTGAATGGTGTCTACGTCGAATTCTTCTTCAACTTTGAAAACTGCACGAGGTTTGGAAAATGAGTGACCGATTTACTGATTGAACTTTGAATTTTATTTTATGGATTTCATGCATGGAAATAGCTCAGAAAAGTTATCGAGAAAGTTCACAAATTTATCGTCGATTTTGACTCATTTGGATTCATGGGTTTTTGACATTCAGTCAAATTGGAAAAGTTGCTTATTGGAATAGTTTCTTAGACTTTTCTTCAGACAATCTCAGTTTAAGAATGAGTAAGATGATATTTTGCCAACGATGATCACTTGCAATATCCATTCAAAAATATGAAATGATCCTCTTACAGTTCTATAAACGAGTCCAATTCCTTACACAAATATCCATCCCTTCTCATGTCACGTTCTTTTGATTCTGGTTCGTCATTCAAGATCGATTCATACCTTGGAGCTTGGGATGTTTCAAAGATATTGGGTGACATTTGTGAAGATGAACTCACCAAAGTTCAAACCTTTTTCAAAACAAGTGACGTTCTGAAGAATAAACGTCGCTCATCTTTCCAAAAGAAAACTGCATTTAATGATTTTTAATGACATAATGATCGTTTTGGTCTAATGAAATGTGATTGGTAAATGTCGTTTCTTCTTTTTGGGAAGCCAATTCATACTATTATAAAATGTCTCTGAATTCCAAGTCAACACCTGTCGACAATTTGGTACGATTGACTTTGTCTAAAGAATCCATCACAATACCTTTTTTGTCCATGGTCCATCCTGATCCAAAACGATGGCCATTCTTGATTGTATCAAACATCTTGTCTTTGTCCATTTCTATCCAAGGAATCGCCAATCCTCTCAACCTGGTTCGATTTAAATCATTGTCTCTCTTTCTCCACATAACATGGTTAAAAGAAAAAATTACAAACACCTATAAACAATAACATGAAATTCAGCTACGTCACCTTTGTGCCAAACAAACAACAACAACAACCATTGAAGGGAAAGCGATCCAAACCACTCACCATGGTTTCTTATTTTACAGACACTGCAAGAAACTCATGTTCTGATCCATTTGATGGATCCATGGATTTGTCTCTCCATTTCAATGTTGAAACTGAATTGCCCTCTTCGACACGTCGTCATGTACCTCCACCCGTTCAGATTGAAATGAATCCTCTTATTCCTCCTTCATCGCCTCCTGAACGTTCTCCAAAACAAACCTCAAAACATATTCTTCCTGAACCAATTGAGGCAATTCTTTCAATTCCTGTCCTTTCTCCAACCACATTTCCTCAGAATGTGTTTGCAAGTGGAAATAGCAAAACAGTCTTGTGTCGATCGACTCGTCATCGAAAACCTCGTTTTGAAGCTCGTCCAAAAAAGGAAATTTGCAATCGAGAACCAACAACCCTACGAACGAGTCCAAAAATTAGCAAGTCACAACAACGTTGGAGTCGAACCACACATACAACCACCAATCATTTCTCCTCAGTACTCTCACACCCAGACATCCAGCAAGCAATTCTTGTGGTTTCTAACAATCATGGACAACAGGATGAAACCAAAGAAACCTCCTCTGTCATTCAAAATTTACATCTGAATAGGGAACAAGCACTTCCAAACACCACATTAAGAGATTCTTCAGTTTTTTCTGGAACAACTGTCTCGAGTTCAGTACCAAAAAATGTGAGAACCTCCATTTCCATATTCGAGTTGTTGAATCCTGAAGAATAAAGAATTGTTCGGAATTGAAAAATCATTAAAGCAAACAACTTTAATATATGGCTAGCCTCTAACTATAGTAAGAATATTTACAAATTGGTTTATAAGCTCTAAGAATGAAAGGAATAAGAGAATGAAAAAAAGCTACAGCACCGCAGGTTCCCAAGTTGTCTCCAACCTCAGTACTGATGCAGCTCGACGATGCTTAACTTCTCAAATCGGACGGGATGAGGTGCATTCATCGTGATATGGCCGTAGCCACTCACATCCCTTCGGACGGGATGAGGTGCATTCATCGTGATATGGCCGTAGCCACTCACATCCCTTAATTGCTTCTTTTGATTACTCTCTTACCATTGATTCGCTGTTCCCTTCATCGAATCCTCGAACGATTCACGAGATTGAACGTCGAATTTTCGTGAACCACAAAATAAAGCACCCATCGAGTGTGGTGTGAAGCCAATCTTTAAAATCAAGAGTGCATGTCTACTAGCCATTCATTGCTTGCATTTCAATTTGATACTCTGAAAGATTTCAACCAGGTATATGTTTGGCGTGAAACACATAAACCTTCGCATACAAGGCTGAATAAACAATTATCGTCTGACTATCAAACGGTACCTGTTGCAATGAATCAATTTTCATGCACAACGATACAAAGTCATCCATACATTACTCTTTTTCTCATACTATTCACATGCCAGTTTTATTTTAATAAGGCCCTTTGTAATTTCATATTCACGTCTTGCGTTGTTCTAATGATGTAGCAACTGCTCGCACAAACGAATCATGTGTTCTGCAGGTTTATCATTCGTGTTGCTCTGATAAAATTCTTGGAACATTTCTAATGCACCTCTGTAATCCTTTTCAAAGTACAACTGACATGCTTGATTATAAGAATTCCATTTGTTCTTCTTTTGTTGATCTGCCAATTCATACATCCACTCATCTTTTTCACAACATTTACGTTTCAAACAAGTTTTTAAAAGACCATGTGTTTGTGTTAAAACATTTCACCTTTTCAAAATGCAAACCTACCTTGTGAAACAGTTAAAGAACCTCCCAATTCATAAACCTTTGTGGAATGTTGTGGAGGCAATTCTTGATTCGAAGTAATAACAGACACAATGAATGTATCATCTACACAATTCTTTGTGTCGACAAATCTTTGCACCTTTTCGATAATCACCTTCATGTATCCATAATCTTTTAGCTTTTGCAATGTGATGAGAAATATCAGTGAGTGTTGAATTTTTAAATTTCACTAAATTGAATCCACCCAATCCAGAAGAATATTCCAAATTAGGAGGAGAACAAGTATGATTGAAGTTTGAATGATCACCATGATCACCATGAACACCATTAGAATGATTCTTAGTATCACCATCAATACCAATTGTAGAATCAGCATGCAAATGATGATTACTCTGATCATCCAATAAGATCATCATTACTAGAGGTTCAATTCGATTTGGTTCATATAATTTTCGAGTTAAACAAAATTCTTCTTTCCAAATGTATTGAGATCGATCACTAAATGGATCTTTCAAATAACATAACATGAGAACCCAAATATATTGTTCATTCAATAAGTGCATGAAATAGTCTAAATGATAAATATTGACATTGACATCAAAGGAGGAGTGTTAGTGTTGATGGTGTTGACGGTGTTGATTGACACACAATGCTCCTTCTATTAATAGAGATCCATCAAAGTAATAGGAATGAGAATTGACAATCATGATAAAATCATAATCGGAATGAGAAGAATCACACGTTTGATACAATCGACTACCAAATAAATAAATATTTTGAATATCTGATTCTTGAATGGTGAATGGAAGAAGAGGAGAAGAAGCACATTGAGAGTTCGTATTGATTGTTGTTGTTGTTGTTCGAGATGATGATGATTGAGAAAGTTGGACTTGAGAAGAACAATAATTGGGAGTGATTGTTGATGTTGGAGCACAAAATGAATCACATCTTGAACAGTGAAGAGAGTAAAAGTAGTAGTAGTAGTAGTAGTGGAAGGATTCGATCCATCCTGATGATGATGATGATGGTGATGGCTCTTCATTCAATTATGATTCCAGGAGAGTGATAGTGAGTCCCTAGAATCTGAATAGAAGGTAGTAGTTTTTCAAGGTGTGAATTTTTTAAAGATCTCTCCCTTTTTTTCGTTCATGCACTACAACATAAACGTGTACAGAGGTAGTATTGAGAAAAAAAAAATTAAATTTCCCGTCCAACCAATTTTTTTCTCCTGGCTCGAGAGATCTCGTTACCTGTCACTCCCACCCTGTAAACGTTACTATATAGGGGTTCTTATGTTGTAGTGTGTGTGGGAAAGTGAGCTAACATCGATTGGAATTGAGTGACACACGAGAGAGAGAAGTGCTCAAAAATCCAAGTGATGAATCTGACTGAGAGTGTGAGTGCGTGAAAGAACAATGTTGAATGATAATATACTTACTCTATTGATCCAACATCTCGAGTACAAAATATATGATGAATATGTCCCTTACTCCCTTTTTATCCATACCATTCCTTTTTCATTCCTTGTTGATGTATTGTGGGTGGAATGAATTTATTACATGATGACTGCCAACTGTCAAACCGATACAAAAAATGTCTCAACAACTCGATGATGATCATTCTCACACTATAAATAACACTACCACGAGCAACAACAACAATAACTCCACCACCAACACTCGAACCACCACCAACTCTACAACATCTACTTCCATGATCAATGATTTGAAACAATTATTGAATCTATTGCATGTCATTTTCATCATTCCCATCCTTCAATTCATTCAACATCCACAACTTGGTTCTTATTGGAAGATTCTGAATAATGATGATGATGATGATGATGGGAGTAGTACTGCTAGTACTTTGAACTCTTCAACAACAACATCAAAACACTCTCCTCTCATTAGTATTGCCAAATCTCATTTATCTTCTTCACTCGGAGGAGTCTCAACACACACTCCGAGAGGATCCAAACGTATGATGGTTGGAGAAGAGAATCAACAAAACAAGGCACAAATCATTCGAGAGAGAATTATGAATCTATCGATCAGTACACAACAGGGATCATTGCTCCATGATGATGATGAGGATCATGACATGATGGATGAAGAGAACGAGGATTATGAACAAGATGATGATGATGATGACATGGAAGATATTCAAGTGAGTGATCATGAAGAAGAAGACTCGAAGGAAGATTCATCCTCCTCTTCCTCTCTCAGTGATGGTGCTAGTACTACTACTACTACTACTACTACTACTGCTGCTGCTGCTGGTGCTGCTGAGAAGAACAATTCCTCCACCATCAACACCAGCACCCCCAGCACCACTTCAATCCTCACCATTACATCGTCGTCATCGTACAGTACTGCTGATCCGTCTGCTTCTTCTTCTTCTATCAATACTACTGATGCCACTTCCACACCAACCACCCTCAAAGTTCCAAAATTATCACTTCTTGGTTCATCATCACCCTCATCATCATCATCATCACCTATTCACGTACGATCACGCTCCTCAGGTTTAACCATTAGTAGTACTACTACTACTACTACTACTGCTAATACAACTACTACTAGAGTTGGTGGTGATGGTGGTGGTGGTGGTGATACCTCTTCCATGGTTCCAACTCTACAAATTGGTTCTCTTCCTGTCACTTCCAATTATCTTTCCAATTTGACAGCACCAAGTACTCTCTCAGCACGTGGTAAAAGTGCAAGTAACAATCGAAATTGTATCATCATCAATGGTGGTCATGGTCATGGCAGTGGATTGGAATCTTCTCCTCACATGAGACTTGTGAACAATGAAATTGAAAGAATCCTCCAAACACCCAATGCCTGTGATTTGAAATTGAATTCTCTCACATTGACCATATTTCCACACAAATTATTTAATTTATTTAAAACACACAAAATTACCAAGATTGATGTCTCTGATAATAGACTCACTTCTCTCTCCTATCACTTTACCAATTCATTTCCATATTTGGAAGAATTGAACCTTTCTAGAAATTTATTTACATCCATGTTCAATGATTTTAACAAATTGAAATATTTAAGAGTATTAGATTTGAGTTACAATGGATTTGAAATTCTTCCTCAAAATGTATTACAATGTACTAATTTACAAGAACTCTATTTGAATCACAATTCATTGATTGCCTTGCAACCTGACATTGCAAAATTACAACAATTACAAGTGTTAGATATTTCTAACAATTTACTTTCAAAATTACCAGATGAATTGACTCAATTGAAGAATTTAAAGAAATTGAATGTATCCAATAACAAGTATATTGATTCAGCCATGAAGATTATTATGGATTTGTACAAACAAAATCCAAATTTAGAAAGAGACATTAAGAGTGAAGATTTGGGTGATAATAGAGATGTTCTTCTTGTTGCATCATCATCACCTTCTTCTTTGACTACAGCCCCTACTACTACTACAAATACCACCACTACTGCTAGTGCCACTACTCACACTTCCAGTACAACTACTACTACTACTAGTACTACTACAACCACAACAGCAACTCCCACCAAAACTGATCGCAGTGCAAGCATGACCAATTTGTCAAAAACACCACCACACACCATCAGCCCTCCTAACAAGATCATGACCAAAGTGGCCACTACTACTACTACGACCACCTCGACAGATTCATCACTTTTAAAAACATCATCATCCATGGATACTTCAGATGCACTCACAACCAAACGTGTCTATTCCATTCTCGAATTGATTGAATCTGAATTCAAATACAAGAATTATCTTGAAACATTATTCAATGAATTCATGTTACCCATTAGTAATTGTGATGATTTACAACAACAAGGTCAATTGAAGTTTATTGGATGTGGAATTCAAGATGGTCCACAATTTGTGAAAAAGATATTTCCACCAGATTTGGAAAATATTTTGAAATGTTCACAAATGTTTTATAGAGAATTGGTCAAGATTTTACTAGAACCAACCATCACCACCACCACGACCGAGGCGACGAGTACAACCCAGACTCGATCCCAAAAAGAGAAAGAACTCTGAACTTCATCGCACATTATTCCTTTTAAAGAATCAAATCTACGATTATCCAGTGGGTCAAATATTCCAAAGATTTATTCCTTTCTTTAAAGTCTATATTGACTATCAATGCCACTATTCACGAACAGTTCATCAAAATCTACCACAAGCCTACTCTCAATATCCAAAATTCAAACAAGTCATTGAAATGGCAAAAACAGTGACAGGCACTGATGGTTTGGATATTTCAAGTCTGTTGATCATGCCATGTCAACGTATTGTAAAATATTGTTTATTGCTTAAGGCTATTATGAAAGAGACACCAACAGATCATCCAGATTATCCTCTCTTAGAAATTGCTTCTACTAAAATGCAAGCAACAGCACATGAAATTAATCGAAAGATGAAAGATATTGCCAACTTGAGAAATTTAATTGATATTGCCTCACAGTATTCCATTGATGGATTGGTCGTCTCTACACGAAGATTTATCTCAACGACAAGTGTCAAGATTTATATTGTGCCATCAAGTGGTACTAATAGTAGTAGTAGTAATAGTGGTACTAGTGGTAGTAATACTAATAGCTTGATTCTTCAAAACACTTCTGGCACTAATATTGTCACTCGTGAGAAGGCTAAAATTCATCTCTTCAATGATCGAATTCTTTTCACCACTATTGAAGACTCCCATTATTACTTTAGCGTTGGATCATTATTGCAATTGGGAAGAAATCCATCCGAATTGTACAAATTATCTGAAGTGGAATTGCCCTCGATGGACAACACAACAATGGACAAGACCAAAGTATCGCTGAATATTCTACCCAAATCGTCTCAATACATTTTAGAATGTGAGAGTGAGAGTGTGTGTAATACTCTTACACAACAATTGAAAGATTTGTTAACCACCACCACCACCACCACTGCAGTGCAAAAGTAGAAACGATTTTGACCATTTTGTCGTGCTTTCATGTAAAATAAATCAATGTTGAACCATGTTCAAACTACAATGCAACTACTAGTTTTACTTCTTGCTACTGATACTACTATCACCACCAGTACTACTTCCTGCACCATTATGATCCATTTCCATCACCTTTTTATACCTCTCAATTAATTGTGGTGTAATTGGCCACTTTTTCTTTCCTTCTTCATTTTGGAGAAAATAGACATGTGTTGGAAATGGAAGAGTCCAATACCGTTGATCATTCTCTTTAAAATGTTGCATTCCAATCACATATTCATGTTTTCCTTGTTCAGCCAATAAATGTCCCGTACAAAATGGAGTATGATCAGGATGTAAAATATTTCCATATTCAGTATCTGTCCATTCTGGTACAAAAACAGCAAATGCGAGTGGTTCATTAGAAGCTTTCAACAACTCGAGACAATACCTAGCAGTCTTGTTCATCACCTCTAAGGTATAGGGTGGTCCACATTCAAAGAATCCTCGTGTAGGTCTAAATTCAAAGAATGATCCTCTTGAACCAAAATACACATCCGTATCTGGAAATGCACTACAAAATGAATTAAAATAACAATTAATGGGTGATGCAAAACATTCATGACACACTTGAAATTCTCGATATAAAAAATCAAATCCTTTCTCAGGAAGAGCTGCATGGAAATTAGCTCCTTCTTCACTTGATGAATCTCCAAAGAATGTTTGATATCTTCTAATGAGAGTATAGAGTCTATATTTAAATTCTTTCATTTCTGGATCTCTCTCTTCATTGCATTTCTTGTAGAGTAATCTCAATTTGTTGTAATGAATTAAATTCAACTTGAAGGTATCCAATGGATGTTGTGAGTGTTGAGAGTTTCCATTGGTGGTGTTACTGTTACTATTGGTGGTGTTACTGTTACTATTAGTGCTATCACTGCCATGACCACCATCATCACCATGACTATCATGACCTTCATCACTTCTACTCATAGAATACAATGTTACTTTACAAAGTAATTCTTGTTCATTAAATTCCAATTGAACATCCATCGATTGTTGAGTAAAGGATTCTTTCAAACGCTCTGTGCTCAATGATTCTGCAATTTTCTTAGAATTATCAACAAGTCTCTGACACACTTCATCCACTCGATCCTTCAAAATTTGTTTAAATAAAATGGTACAATTTTTGTTAATTCTTTTGTTTTTCTTCTAAAATAGATAAATAATTATTAGAATATCTTTGATTATTGTTGTTGTTGTGATTCATCCAATCTCTTAATTGTTTCAATTGTTGTTCAATTTTTTCACATTGTTGAGGTTGATTTAAGGTTCTAACTTTCCTTAACCATTCCCATCCATTTTTGTAATAATAATCTAAGGAGGTGAGTGCTTGATTGACAGTTCGACATCTCAAACGACTTGGAATTTCAGAATAAATTTCAGCTCTCAATACCTCACTTTCTAATGCAAATTCAGGTCTTTTCAATAAAAAATCAGAAGTAGATTGTTTTTCAATGAGAAGAGTTTGTTCAGAACATGATGATTCTAATAGAGATGAATCCACCGATGATAACTGTTCAAATAACCATCGATTCAAAGATTCTTTTGGAGCTTCTAAATCAAAGAGTAATTCTTTCACATCTTTTCATAGGCCAATCTCAATTGTACAATTTTCTTGTATCTATGATATTCAATAAAAGATGCAAAAGCAGGATTGTCTAGAGTTCCTTCTTTGGCATTGATCTGAAAGAATCTTTTCGTTGTTCCTCTCCATTGGATTTAATATCATATTGAGAATGGTCGATTGAAAAATTCCAAATTGGAATTCCATTTCGGAGTGGAACCTTATCATCGTTAGCCTTTAAATGGATAGTATTAGAATCAAGAGGAGGAGGTCCGCTTTTATCATTCTTTCTGTACTTGTTTTTACCTCCATAAGAAGTATTTCTAGTGTAATGATCAAAATTTCTTTTTTTTTGATGTTCGGAGGATGAATCATACTTTCTAAAGCCTCTTTCACCACTCGTGGAGGTATGACTACTATTACTATAGGGTTTGTAATGCTCGGAATAGGATGAAGGATGGAAAGAAGGATGAACATGTTGTTGTTGATATTGATGATGGCTCGGAGGTGGTGGATAATGATGATCACCAAGACTAGTACTCGTCGTCGTGTCCAATGTTCCTCCTCTTCCTCCTCCTCGAGGACTACTTTGATAACCGTAATAATATCCTCCCAACGGTTGTCTTGGTGGTGGAATGTGATGAACAATATTATTATTATTATTATTCGGATAATGATTTGATGGTTCTCCTGAGAGATCACGGTCGTCTTGCGCCATATTTTGTTGTGTTCGCCTGTTGTTGTTGTTGTTGTTGGAGTGATGCGTCGGTTGCTGCTGAGTGGCCATCGATGGTTGGCGAGTGAGCATGATGAGAATGATGAGAAGGACTCATTTTTTTCGAGTGTGGTGATGGAGTGGTGATGGAGTTGAATTCATGACCCTCCAGGAATTATATCATCAACCCCAAGAGAAATTCCCTTTCCAGAACCAAATCAGTCCTCAAAGGTCTTGACCATGGAATCTCTATTGACAATTTTCATTTCGAATAGAGATACATGTTCTTTATGATCGTACAATGATGATAAAAGTCCCATTCGGTTTTCTTTCAATTTGAAAATCATCAAGTTCATGGATAACTTTAATTCGACAAGTCAACCACAAGACAGACAACAAGAGTAACACAACTTTCAACCTTCTCATCGCACTCTTGATTTTAAAGATTGGCTTCACACCACACTCGATGGGTGCTTTATTTTGTGGTTCACGAAAATTCGACATTCAATCTCGTGAATCGTTCGAGGATTCGATGAAGGGAACAGCGAATCAATGGTAAGAGAGTAATCAAAAGAAGCAATTAAGGGATGTGAGTGGCTACGGCCATATCACGATGAATGCACCTCATCCCGTCCGATTTGAGAAGTCAAGCATCGTCGAGCTGCATCAGTACTGAGGTTGGAGACAACTTGGGAACCTGCGGTGCTGTAGCCTTTTTTCATTTACAAAATAAAACGTTTTATTTATCGTTCACTATTTCGTCTTTCTTGTAACACTTTTCGTGACTTGCATTGACCATGTAATTGATTATGTCTAAAATTTAATTGGAATGCATTACAGCATTACAGCCGACTTGAACTCGGGTGTTTAAAGAACCAACAAAGGCTTCTCTGCTTTTGTCACTCACAGTCAAAGACAAATCAAGAGAATTAAAACTAATCCTCCCCAGAAATGATTCAGTCCGACCTCTCCGACTTGTTTGCAAGAAGAGTGAAGAACCTTTAATTGACCTTCCACTTTCTACATGAACTTTCACAACTTGGAACACTTCAATAGTTTGTTCCTCCTTTGAAGAATAAAGCAAATCAATAAAATATTAAGCGTACTGTAGTGCCTTGAACGCTGTCTGAGTGGTATTTCTCAAATTGAGATGACATTCTAGTGAACATGGAATTCCAACTTTCATAAGTGGAAGCAACAAGTAATGCTTCATGACTCGTTGAAAATGATGGTTGTTGTGGATCGTTGCTGTTGAAAATCGACTTCCTCTCATTCCAATGTGAATATTATTTCTGAGCTTTTCAGTATGCAGGATACAACTTTTGAAGTTTTCACATTGATTTCTAAGTGCATTTAATACTTTTCTGTTTTCTTTCTAAATTCTGCAAGTCGTTGTTTATAGCTCACATGATGATGAATGGGAGGAAGAGTAAATGCTTCTTCTTCTCCTCCAGGAATTGCATCACCACTACTGGATGTCAGGTGGTGAGTGGTTGGGGAAGTGGTTGGAGAGGAGGTATTATTACTGGCATTCACTGCTGGAGATGGAGAGCAGTTGAGGGAGGGAGAAGACTTTGAATGATGATGTCCACCACCACCACCACCACTCTGACTCTGACCACCACTCTGACCACCACTAGAAGCAAGTAAATCATTCGTGGATCCCTCTTTTCGAATGTTCTTTCTATCAAATGTGTGTAATTTAGAGTAAAAAGCTGAATAATGTTTCTCTCTCTTGTACTGATAATTTGGTTAAATTCATGGGTATGACATCTTTTCTGGTTTCCATTGATCTCCTTTTTTCTTATTGTAGACCTCTCGAGTTTCTTCTCCTTCTCTTTCCAATAACCTAATTTGATATCATTCATCACTTGAAGGATAAACTTTCCAATTTCATCTTCTGTTTGAATTTGTGCTTCATACTTGGCCATGGACTTTTTATACAAATCTAATCGATCTTTGAGAGTTTCAATTTCCTTTCGAGCACTTGCCAGTTCCAAATCTTTTTCTTCTGCCAATTTTTTCATTTCTTCGAGAGTGTAATTTTTATACTTTTCTCTGGTGGGTGTATCGATGTGTTTTGCGCTTCCATTTCCTTAATCTTTTGAGAGAGAGATTTAATCGTTTTGAGATAGGATGCTAATTTCTTTTGCATTTCATCCATTCCAATCTTTTCCATGTCTTTAAATGGTGATCAAAAAATTCTATGCATCATCATCACCAACACCATACAAATACCTACTTGTTTCATGTCTTAATTGTTTGTTTTCTTCTTCTAGTCGCTTATTTTCAGATATTATTTTTCCAGCCTCTTGGGTACTATGTTCAATTCTTTCTTTCAATTGTTGATTTTTTGCATGGTTTGTAGTGTTTTCTTTGAAATAACAATGAAATTCAGATCATAAATAGAATTATCAAATTTTCATACCTTACTTAAATGTTCATCTGTTGATTTGATGATTGCTTGTTTTTCTGAAGTGAAACCTTCTATTAAATTTTGTTCTTGAGCTTTCAACTCTTCTTCAAAAGTCTTTTCATTTTCATAATTTCAACAAAATGTTCGTCTTTCAGTCGTCGTATCTGCTTTTTAAAGATGAATTCTCGTTTTCCAATTCGTTTTTCAGTTTCTGAATATCTTCTACTTGTGTTTCATTATGCTTGGTGGCGTTCAGCAAATGCCTCAACTCTATAATTTCTTTATCTTTCGTTCGATTTATCTCAAAGATTGTGGTCTCATAATGATATTTCATTTCACTAAGTTTTTGTAATAAATTATCATTTTCTTTTTGCAAATGCTCTACTGATTGTTCCGATTTTCTTCTATCAATATCAAATTGTTCCAAAATTGCCTTCTAATTGGATCAATAATTATGGTGAGCACTTTTATCACTTACATTATCCTGAATTCTTGCTTCTATTATTAATTTTAACTCTGCAATTTTCTGCTCGAGTCGTTGACATTCCTCGGTCCTGAAATCAAAATCAATTGTCGAGCTTTTCAAGACAACTGATCATACTTA